CCATTACACATGAAGTATTCTTACTTCCCTATTTCTAATATCAGTACCACCATTCACCCAGACTCAATACACTTTAATTATTGTCTTTCCTTTTCCCTCATCCTCACCATCTACAACTATCCAAACATTATAAATTTTATCATGTATTATCTTTTGCATTAACTTCCTCTTTTCTATTCCTAATGCCACTGTTTTTAAAAAGATCTTTTTAAAGATCTTTGACCTTGTATCTTTTTAAAGATCTTTTTAAAGATCTAAAACTGGTCTGATTCAAGCCATACTACCCTGCTGCCAGAGACTTTCTATAGAAATGGGAACAAACTCCTCATTCACTCTGGCATACAAAGCTCTCCTTAAAGGAGTTCAAACCCTCATTTCTAGTCTTTAGGCACACCTTCTGATACATGGCCTATAGGTGAGCCAAACCAACCTGCTAGTCATCTAACATACTTGAAACTTTTTCATGCCTGTGCCTTCATTCCTGCTACACCTTGAACATACATTCTCTGTGCTCTTCAAGTACCAAAATCCAGCCCTCCTTCAAAGCTCAAGTTAAATGTCACCTTTCATTAAACTCATCTTGCTACCCTCATCTAAATGTCATCTCTTCCACCTCTAAAACTCCCAGGAAATACTATATGATTTTCTTAAAGCTCTTACTGAAAGGAAAGTGACCACAATACTCGGAGCAACCAAAAGATCTTTATTGCAGCAGTGCAACAGAGAAAAGAGAGGGGGGGGGAGGGAGGAAGCGCACGCAGGAGAGAGAGAAAGCAAGAGAGATAGCAAGAGAGAGAGAGAGCAAGAGAGAGAGAGCAAGAGAGAGAGAGCAAGAGAGAGGGGGGCCTGGCAGGAGGGAGTTTTTATAGCCCAAATCTAATGGGGCCTCTGGGTCTGCAAGCTGCCTTGTTGGCCCAACGGGGGTTAAGTGTTCAGCCTTGAGCAGGATTGAATGTTCAGACTTGAGGCAAACAGGTGATAAAGGACCAGATAGAGGGGGGTTTGAGTGCGTGGGCTATCTTGCAGCCAACATCTGTTCAGCCTGCCCTGCAGACAACACAGTTCAGCCTGCTCTGCACCCAACACTTACCACATGTGACCTTGTATCTGAGTATTTTGTATATCATATCTCACATTTGGATTTGCTATATGTTCTTTGAAAGCATAAACTATAATATTAATCTTTTCATTTCAAATAGAAACTACCACAAGACTATGCATTCATCAAATGCCTCAAAATATATTTGTAAATTTTAAGACTATTTACCAGAGTAGATCCTACTGTTATTAAGGACACAAACACAGAATCTGCTTTGAGTTTTTAGCATATTGATATGTAAGGAGGCCACATCAGCACAAGAGCCTCTAAAAATAAATCTAACCTAAGAGACAAGAAACTATTGACCAAAGAAATATAGTAGAATCACACAAATATATACATCAAACTCACTTCATTTTCCTGGGCAAGTGTTAAAATTTCATCAAGTGTGACAAATGTATCATTTCCTCTGACTGCATCTTTCTCCATAAATCCAAGGTGAATATCAGTTGCAACTAAGATTTTAAATGTATTTTCATCATCACTGTATTAAAAAATAAATATCATTTCAATATAATGCATTAAAAGGATATTCAAGTAAGTTAAGACGTAAGCATAAAATAAATAACAGCAGTTAGGAGTAAAGTCATTTTTCTACTGTTAAACTTGTTCTGAAAATCTGAAGTACTCAACATCACATAATTTTTCTAACCACTAATTCAATACATAACAAATTTGTACATAAGTTTTAAAAGGTTCTGTAACTGCTTCAAAAATTTATAATCCTGTTATAATAAACCTAAAGGCCTGCTTGTTTTCCTATTCTGTCCCAGCACAAAAACCCAAAGAGCTTTGATCTTGATTACTAGATTTGGTTATTTGATTTTACAATCTAGGAAAATCAAGTTTAAAAAGTCTTCCTCTAAGTTTGTAGGTAGATTTTATACTATTGTGCTAGTAATTTACATTCAGGCTCCTGGAAACAACTGCTTGTCTGTACTTTCAATAAAAAGTTAATTTTTCATTAATAAATTTTACCAAGTAAGAAAAGAAATTTCAATTCAAATAAAATCTGGCAGAGGCAATTTCATGTGAAGCAGCACTGGAATAGCAATTAACATTCTCTTAAACAATGTAAATTTTAATTTTCTAAATACTTTTATATCTATGATTTCATCATAACTCCTAGTCAATAAAGAGGTAGGCATTATTATACCTGAAAAATGAAAAGTCTAGACACTGAAAAATTGATTTATCACTCAACTAATTTCAGAAACAGGACTAAAAATCACATGAAAACTCAGGTTATTTTTACTAAACTATAATCTTTAAAATCTTTTTTTTTTTTTTTTAGAGAGAGAGAGAAGAGAGAATTTTGTTAATATTTATTTTTTCAGTTTTTGGTGGACACAATATCTTTATTTTTATGTGGTGCTGAGGATCGAACCCAGCACCCCGTGCATACCAGGCGAGCTCGTTACCGCTTGAGCCACATCCCCAGCCCCAAAATCTTTTTTTTATTATTTTTTAAATTGTAGATAGACATAATGCTTTTATTTTATTTTTATGTGGTGCTGAGGATCAAACCCAGTGCCTAACACATGTTAGGCAAGCACTCTACCACTGAGCTCAACCCCAGCCCCTTTAAATCTTTTTATACAAAGTTATTATTATTTTTTTTTATTTTTTATTTTTTTTTTTTAGTTTTCGGCGGACACAACATCTTTGTATGTGGTGCTGAGGATGGAACCCAGGCYGCACACATGCCAGGCAAGCGCGCTACAGCTTGAGCCACATCCCCAGCCCTTTTTATACAAAATTAAAATATTAATATATGAAAAGCATTTCCAGAAATATTTCTCTTCAGTAACTTCAAAAATGATATGCACAAAGTTCTGATTACTGTATACAAGCTTTTCAGATCACATCACTACATCCTTCCACAGCAATGTATAAAGTATTTTCACATGATTTCTCTCATTTAAATCTCAAAATTAATCTGAGAAAGGCATGATTATTCCAATTATACAAATTAAGAAATTGAGGCTAGGCTCAGAGAACTGCTGAATTTCCAAGGTCATATGTCTAATTTTCACCAATGTCTTAAAACTACAATGAAAGACTTAAAGTCTAAGGCTTTTTCCACCTAACATTTTTAGGACTTTTATTTATTTAGACTTTATCCAAATTYATTTTCAATATATTTGATACTACATTAATTTACTCTAAAAATCTGCTTAAACAGAACTTCATGAATAAAACTTTATCATGAAAATTCAAGGCTATCTATAGCTTCAATATTTTAATAAAGTCTAAGAACATAACCTTACTACAGCAACATAACAAATTACTCCAAGACTCCAATCTATAGCTTCACAGTTTTAATAAACATATAGAATGGATTTTTAAACATTGAAAATATTCTTTTTGATGATTAACACTTCTGCTCACAGGCAAGTTCTTTATTTACTGGTAATTTCTTTTTGGTTGTGGGTACTGGGGATTGAACTCAGGAGGACTGGACCACTGAGCCACATCCCCAAGCCTATTTTGTTTCTTATTTAGAGACAAGGTCTCACTTAGTAGCTYAGCACCTTGCTTTTGCTGAGGCTAGCTTTGAACTCGTGATCTTCCTGCCTCAACCTCCTAAGCCTCTAGTATTACCAGCTAATTTATTTTTTTTAAGGTGGTCATAGTTAATAATCATTGTAAACCCAAAGTAACCAAAGGATTCTATAAGGCAAGATGGGCTTACAGTGCATCAGCAGTACTCATTTTTTTTATGGTCAGTAGGGCTCCACAAGGGCAAGATTTCTCTCCAATAACTCCTAGGTCCTGTGTTCAAATGTGTCAATCGTTTCCAAATTCTAAAAACAAATATCAAAAACATATTTGTTAAAAGGTTGCACATACTTAACCATTTTCAGTTAGGCTGCATAGGTACAGACTTCTTAAATAATCAGACTGGCAATTCTGAAAGTCTCATTTTCATCTAAGCGCCTACTATTATTTTTTAATGAGTTTATAATAGACAATAACGCATCTTCAGTGCCACTTTAATATCACTGTTATGGTTAACATAACAGTGTTTCTTTTCCCTTGCTCTTATGGAAAATTAATGCATATTAATAAATGTACGGTAAGGATCACGTACGATTCTAATGCAGCACACAATTCTGGGTGTTAAATTGTACGCATAGGATTTTCTGGAGTATGGCGGCAATCCCCTATTTCCYGGCCCCAAACAACCTTTTTAAAAGATCAGGATTGTTTTCATAAGAGAGGGACCCCATGTTTAAAGCTAGAAAAAAATAAATCAAACACGTGGAGAAACACCTTTGAGAGCCTGCAGGACAACTTTTAAGTAGTCAGACTTGGGAAGGAAAAGCTGTCACCGGCTTACACGTCCGGAGTTCCAGGTTGCATTGGGATTCCAAGAGTCGCCAAGCTCTAGCCGCGGTGGGACTCGAAGTCAGAGCCATGAGCTCTTACACCCCTCCTCAGCCCACTCAGCGGCCCACGCTCGCCAGAGCGTCCCATTCACTCTGGGCTTCCGCCTCAGAACCTAGAAAGCTAGGAGATGGATACGATGCCTAAATTACCCCACACCTGGACTCTTCAAAGCCCCACCTTCCGGACCAAGACTGTCTTCTATCCAGGAAGAAGGGGAGGGATTCGTGAGTAGAAAAGCAAGCAGTCTGCCCGGGAAACAAGAAGGGTCATAAACATGAATTAGGCGCGAGAGAACAGCATCTGTGTTTCTCGCGATGTCTCGTTAATGACGTAGGCTTCTCAAGTCCTCTTCGAGTTTCATTGGCTGCGGAATGTCGAGAAGGGGTAAGGAAAGTAGCGGTAAGGCCCCGCCCCCGTACGGGAGCCAATCCTGAGCAGCCCAGGGGACAAACCCGGAAGCAAGATTCGCAGCGGCGACTTTCCACTGTAAGGTGAGTAATTCCTCCAGGTCCGGGACCAGGTTTCCAGGTGAAGTAGCAGTTAAGAACTACTGGGTCCAAAGGGGTGGTCACCTTAGGCCCTTACCGAGCCCTGGAGGTCAGGCCATTTGGCGGGTCCTAGGTAAGATCGTGGTGGCTTCTTCGATTTTGGCTGTTTGGAAGGCCGCGGGCCTGCGAGTGACTGGCCGGTGGCAGAGTCAGGTCTGGCGGCCGTCTTTCCTCCGCCCCGCCCGCCTCACTACACCCTCTAGTTCTCAGACTTATTCCCTGCTCCCCCTTGTCGCCCGTGAATCCCCGGCTTCAGCACATCTGTACTGCGTTTTGCTGAGGACAAAATATAGTGCAGTAAAAGTAATGTGGAACTTTTTAATTTGAAGATCTGGCTTTCAGCTCCACAGAAGGGTCCTTGATCTGAATTTAACAGGTTGTTTTAATCTGTCACTGAATTTGTCACCCTATTCCTAATCGGATATCATCGAGTAAGAATCTTGATCATTTTATTTTTAAACCCTGAACGAAGAAGATGCATCTGGGTTTGACTTTTTAAATTAGATATACCAAGGAAGTTTTGTATGTGATTTATTTTATCTGGAACTTTAAAAGTTCAGAATTTATATGAAGGGCTATGGAAAAAGAAAGACTTCTTGTGGGAAGTCAGTGAGATTTGTGCTAAAATATTATTATATCTGATGTAAATACAAGCGATCCATACTTTATGTAGGTATCTGTTACCTATTTAATGAATTTGATCACTTTTGTGTTGCGAGGTTCAGAAAATAGCTTGAGAATAAAAAAAAAAAAGTGGAAACTAATACAACACAAAGCAAGTCCGATGAGGTCTCTCAATAGACTCCAAAAAGTTGGATGGACCTTAGAAATTCTTTGTACAATCCTTATATTTTACAATGAAGTTACAGACCTAGAGAAGTTACTGGTCATAAGTGATAGATTTAAGCTTGAGTTTCATGATCCTGCTTCTAGTAAACAATATTTAATACCACAGTAGATTTGTATATTCTTAAATTTGTGGAATTTAGTAGAACAAAATTAGTATCTTAGGTGTATGACTAATTCTGGATCTTCTCAGAATCTATTCCAGGCAGAATCAAATGACAGGGCTTTAATTAAATTTAATACTATTGCTGTTTCTCAGTACTTGCTGTATACAAGTGGAACTTAAATGTTAGTTAAACAAAGTCCCTAGCCTTAAGTTCATGATCTTTAAGCATCAGAAACAAAGTTCACGGTAAAACAAGACAAAATATAGCACCAAAAAGAACAAAGGAGAAAGATCTAATTGGGAGGATCAAGAAAGAATGAAAGGGAGAACATTCTAAGAATAGTCTTGAAAGATTGGTTAAGATTTCAAAAAGTGCAGTTTGGAGACTGATAAATTATATTTTTAAAATAACGTTTTCATTTTCTTTAATTGATTAAGGCTTATGTGCTATGTAACTCTTTAAGCTGATATTAATTTGTAAATTAATATTGCAGCTAAGCAGAATAAACATCTGCCGGAAGCTCTTCCATCTCCAGGAATGGGTGAATTATGACCCTCCTGTATACTCAAGGTATCTAGATAGGGCTCATATTATCTTTGCAATCACCTGCACTAGACAGGAATCTTCTTGAGGAAAAGACATGGATCTTGTTCATTATTGAATACCAGTTCCTAAAAATTCATATTTTTTGAGTGAAGGAGTAAATGACAACCAAAATTCAGTTCAGAAACAAGGAGCCAACTAAGAACTATAGTTTTCTGTCAGCAAATAGGACTACTTTTTGAAGCAATGCGTTTTCCTAGGCCTGAAATTATTAAAGTAGAAATAGGATAATTATTACAAATATAGTGATAAAATTATCTGTACCAGTGAGAGATTTGGGAAAGATATCATTTGGGGCCTATTTTGTCTTAAGAATTTTTTCAAATTGTCTCTTAAAAACTAGAAATTTTTGTTGTGCTTTGTATTATCTATGTATCTAGTTTATAAAAATTGTTATTATATCTGTATTTATTGTATTAGTTATACTTCAAAAAATTTAAGCATTCATCACCCTTCACTGAATACCATCATACTTAAACCAATAGGTTCAAAATAACAGGCATAGCCATTCATTTACTAGAAGGAAAAGAAGAATGGCTAGATCGTTAAAGATCATAGATAACTGAAATCTGTTAGCTCCAGTATTTAATATGTTTAATGAGCATCATGAGAAAACGACCAGTTTAGATAATGTTTATTTGTGCATGCTTGCAAAACTGGTTTCTGTGCTATTGATAAAGCTTCATTTAGTGTTTTGCTAATAATTTTTGTGTTTGTGTTTTCAGATCTTGATGAAAACAATAAAGCAGACATAATTCATCCCTAGAAASATTATATCCTAGCATTTGAAATGCTTTTTACTTAGAATAGTAGTTAAAAATGGAAAAAACAAAAATAAATGATGAAGGAAAACCAGACCCAGAGAATTCTTTGGACTTTTCTGAACATTTTAATCAACTTGAATTGTTGGAAACACATGGACACCTTATTCCCACTGGTACCCAAAGTCTCTGGGTAGGCAATTCTGATGAAGATGAAGAGCAAGATGAAAAAAATGAAGAGTGGTATCAATTACAAGAAAAAAAAATGGAGAAAGATCCAAGCAAATTGCTGCTTTGGGCTGCTGAAAAAAATCGGGTAAAAAAAAAAAAGGGAAAAAAGGGGAACCATAACATAGTAAGAAAAACTTTGGGTTTAGAACCTAAAGACCTGCCCCACCCCTCTATTTGATCTTTGAGCAAATTCCATATCTGAACCTCTAGTTTCTTATATGTAAAAATGGCCACCATAATATCTGTCTCTGTTGTACAGGATGGTGAGAATCAAATTAAGCAATGTACACAAAAGCACATATTAAACTATAAACTGTCATGTTAGGTATTATTTGGGGGTTTAAGAATAATTAACAATAAGGATAGCAAGCAATTATCTATATTTTTAAAGCATTTATAAGTTATTAGAATTATCCTATGGGTAAACATTATTTAAAATAGGTAAAATGGAAATTAACATTTATTAAATACCAACTATACCAGTTAGCTTACTACATTGTTTTATTTAATCCTCACGTATCCATACAATAAGTGTTAATATTAATTTTCCCAGGATTATCCTAGTAGAATTAACACGAAAAAACTATTCTTTCTACTTGGCCACTTCCACTTCACTTTATTATGTTCTCCCATGTCTGTGTTGGTAAACTAATACCTATAAGAATTTAACATTGTTTAATAGCTTTTTAGCTCTAGAACACCCAGCAGCCCTCTAGAGGTTCATAAATTAAACTGAAAATCACTGCCTGGTGGCAGGTTTCTGAGGTCATATTCAGAAGGAATTGAGCCTTTAAGTCCTTGGATTTCCTTTCACCATTTTATTCTTCTCTTAAAGGAAATTTCATTTTTATAAGTTTTATACACTGTTTATTTGAATGATGCTATTATAAGAAAATTAATGTTATATTTCCTTTGCAGATGAAATATAGAATATTAAACATGATTATAGCCTGTATTATTCATTTAGGGCTAAAGCTTTTGTGCAGTAAGTCTTAATTAGACCAGGACTAAATGTGTGGTTTGATATTCAGAGAATCAGATTCTTAGAAGCAACTGAGTATAGTTAACACTAAATTGTTCATTAGTAAACCAGTTGCCCTATTGCCCCAAAAAAGAAATCTTATTTTCATTTTAAAATTCATCTCTTAACAGTTTTTTATTTAACTTAATTAAATCTAAAACTGCTGAACAATTTCATTTTCTTTATTTATTGTTTTGCTTCGAGTTGGGTTTTTTGAAGAGCTCTTTTTTTTTTTCCTTTTCAGCTTACTACAGTGCAGAGACTACTTTCTGAGAAAGCCACTCATGTAAACACTAGAGATGAGGATGAGTATACCCCTCTTCATCGAGCAGCCTACAGTGGACATTTAGATATTGTCCGTGAACTGGTTGCGCAAGGGGCAGATGTGCATGCAGTAACTGTGGATGGCTGGACACCTCTGCATAGTGCTTGTAAGTGGAACAATACCAGAGTGGCTTCTTTCCTACTTCAGCATGATGCAGATGTCAATGCTCAAACAAAAGGCCTTCTGACTCCCTTGCATCTTGCTGCTGGAAACAGAGACAGCAAAGAGACCCTAGAACTCCTCCTAATGAACCGTTATATCAAACCAGATTTGAAGAACAACTTGGATGAAACTGCATTTGATATTGCCAGGAGGACAAGTATCTATCACTACCTCTTTGAAATTGTGGAAGGCTGTACAAATTCTTCACCTCAATCTTAATAGTTCTAGTAATTTTCTTAAGTTTGTAAGTACCAGTGCCTCCTTTGTGTGTGACATAAAATATTCCCATTATACAAAGTTGACATCAAAAGTCTTACTACAAAAATTCAGTGCTACTCAGTATAATGTTCTTCCTAGTGAATCGCCTGATCTTGATGTCAAAAATGTATTTGAGAGTTGTTTAGATATATCTTTAATGATTTCTGTGGAGTTGTGATTTTTATGAGGAATAATTTTAACTGACCTTTACTTAAAAACTTGACACGGGTAGAACAGAAACTAAAGATATTTTTGGTGCTGATCCAAGAGAAATGTATTTTTAAATACCCCATATCCTGGATCTTTGTTGAGTATTTAATATATTAACATGTATTTTTATAAAGTTAGGTGACTCCAAATTTAATTTAAAAGTCTTAAATATATTGGAACAGCTCAGCTGTCTACATTATCATAATCAGTTGCTTTCACTGTAAATCAGAAAAAGTAACATACTAGTGACTTTAAAAAATACAATTTAAAAAAGCCTAGATTTTTGCTTTATATAACAGAAAATTTTGAAAAGTAGTTAGCTGGGCATTTAGTCCATGAATTTTACATACTGCCTCCCCTGCCACAGTTCACACACCCTGTGCACAGTCCTACCTCACCCTGGTTAACCTATATAATCCTTATTATGGTGAGTCAGTATGACCTTTTAGAGATGCACACAACTATCCCTTGGTCCAGGAGATCATAATATATCTGCTACCCAACTGGCTTTACTTGCCTAATCCTGCTGGGTCAGCCTCTGCTCATAAAATCTCTTTTGAGTTCACCAAAAATATCAATTTTCCAAGGTCCTCAGTTTATTCAAACCATTACAAGGGCAAAGTGACAAGGGTAAGGAATTCTAATAGTAAGGGGATTATGATTATATTGGGACTAGAACCACCAAGTGGCTCAGGTTTAAAAAAAAAAAACACACACACATAGTGTGGATAGTGATAAACAAATATTCAAGAAAAATAAAGTGCAAGTTTGACAAGAAAAAAGGYGTAAGTTCTTTTTTAACGTGTATTTTGTTTGACTTATAGCATATTTATTCAAACAGCTTATGCAACTCTCTCCATGTGTTCAGCAGTTTCCCATTGAATACCTAGCTCCTTTGACTATTCCCAAAGGATCTTCTCTTAACCTCTCAACACTGGAACTAACATTGTAGGGAAAGGAAACAACCAGTTATGCTTTTCTTCAGTATATTTTTTAAATGCCTACCAAATTTTGTCTCTTGAGCCAGCTCACATGACTCAACCACCCTAGACTATGCAATAATATTTATTAATCAAATATATGTGGCAGGATTTTGTTTAGAACAGAATTGGATCATCTCAGAAAGTTAAAGATAATAAATTAACAGAGTCATTGTAACAGACTCTCAAGAGTTATAAAACTTCAATTATTTTGTGATCTCTGGCCTTGGTTTTAGAGTATCAATACCTAATACAAATATTTGTGCAGAAAACAAGAGATTGCTTTCTTTCTGTTTTTTCTGGTCCAAGTAAGTGACACCAAATGATAAGTACAGCTGACAGACAGTGATGGTAGAGTAGGACCCCATCTATACCAGTAGACTGCTGAACGAGGCTGCCTGATTATCTGAAATTCACAGAGCCTGTAGCTCCATTCTTAATTGGGAGTGGGTTGCATCATGATTTTATGTCAGTTTTCCCTTTATGGAGCCAAAGAAGACTATCTAATAAGGAACTGAGTTGTGACCACTCTTAAGGATTTTTTTAGTCCTCAACATTCACCAATGCTAAAAAGCAAACTTTGAACAAATAAAGCCTCTCTCCCAGAGGGCAGAATTTTTATTGTTTGCATCCTTTGTACTTCACATTTACTACTATCCACAGGAAATATTTACTAATTGTGCTTTTGACTACCACATAGCTGTTACTGTTTTTTACAGTTTAAGCAGGCCAAAAGTTGAGTGGCAAACAAAATTTTCTCTAATTCTGAAGTTTATCCAAAGACTTTTTTAAAAATCTGTTTTCTATAACTGAGGTCTTAAATTTGATTAACTTGTCTGCTTGAGGAAGAGACAACTTGTTATTGTTCAAGGTATATATAGGCCCATGGTGAAACTATTTGGCTTTGCCTATATAAATCTCAAGTACACTACAGGAGCCTTGTGGCCCACAGCCTACCACGGTGATGGGATTTACAGTCTTTCTATAGGAATGTGAGGACATTCATTTATTCCTATTTTTTTGGCATCTTTGTAGCATCCACTACTCACTAGAAGCTCATGATCAAGAGAAACCCAATAGCTTGAGTCTCATACCAAAATGAAATCTCTGGATCAGCTCTCTTATTTTTTTTTATTCTTTTTAGTTATACATGGCAGTAGAATGTATTTTGGCATATTATACATACATGGAGTATAACTTCCCATTGTGGTTGTATATGATGTGGAGTTACACTGGTCGTATATTCATATATGAACATAGGAAAGTTATGTCCAATTCATTCTACTGTCTTGCCTGTTCTCATCCCAGCCCCCTCTTTATTCCCCTTTGTCTAAATCCAATGAACTTCTGTCCCCTATCCCATTATTGTGTGTTAGGATCCACATAACAGAACATTCGGCCTTTGTTTTTTGGGGATTGGTGTTTTAGCATAATATTATCCAGTTCCATCCATCCACCAGCAAATGCCATAATTTCATTCTTCATTATGGCTGAGTAATAATCCATTGTACATAACACATTTTTAATCCATTCATCTATTRAAGGGTACCTAAGTTGTTTCCATAGCTTTAGCTTTCTATTTCTGATCAACATATATGCTATCTTCATCCTATCCAAAATGACTAGGAATCAGAAAGACAGAGAAGAGTTGAATATAGCCTATTGGTGTTTTTTTTAATTCCTGGAAATTTCCCTTGGAAACCCCCAAATTTTACTTCTAGAGAACTAAGGAGAAATTAAATAGTACTATCACAAGGAAACATAATATGAGCTGTATGTAATTTTAAGTTTTTCCTAGTAGCCACATTAAACCAAAGTGGATGAAATTGATTTTTAAAATATGTTTTAACCCAGTGCATCCAAAATATTAATTTCAACATCAGATACATATTTAACAATTACTGAGATATGCTACTTTTTTGTAGTTAAGTCTTCAAAGTACATAGTATATAGTATATAGTATAGTATATATAGTATAGTATATATAGTATAGTATAGTATATATAGTATATTGTGGGAGGCCAACCTTACGGGTGACTGCGTTACACTCCCCAGCTGGGTGCTGAGGCGCTCAGTCACAGAAATGGGTGTGTCTTGCTACAGCCCCATGGGTGAAGCTATGCTCACCTGTTCCTTTGTAATATATCCCCTTGCCCTGTTTAGGATAGAATCTTCCATGGAAGTGCCTTGTGTGTGTCCCYTTCTCTTACTGTGCCCTTGRGTGTGGCCTACCCAGGTGTCAGTCAACCCGCTGACAGTGGACATCATGAAGACAAACTCAGCCCCCTGAAACCTGACCCCTTGCCTCATTTGAATAGCTTCTCAATAAAAGGGGTCAGCGCGTGCTCTCTCTCTCTCTCTTTCTGCAGACCCTTATGGTCAGAGGAGCCATCACAGCGACCCCAAAGAAAAAGGTATTTGTGTCTCTTGTGTGGTTATTTCATGCAGCCCAGTTAGCCCAGTTTAACTAGAGTGACCCCTGAGCCTTTTAGTCTCGAGAACAGAAACCCGGCAGTATATATATAGTATACATACTATAGTATAGTAGAGTATATACTATAGTATATATACTATATTCTATAGTATATCAGAATTGAGACTAGCCACATTTGATAGCAGCTGCTATACTGAACAGCACAGGTAGATGCATGACACATGCCCTGGAGATATAGCAGGTTGGTTAAGAGAAGCATTAAACTGAGATAGTCACACTTATGTGCAACTTTGGGCAAATAATTTCAGTTTTTTCATGTATAAAAGGGGATAATATCTGTTTTGTTGCAGCATTGCAGGGGACAAATGAGATAATTGTGGATATAATACCTATTAGGTAATAGGTACTCAAAAAGTGGTATTGAGTTCTTTATTTCCCTAGTATTCCAAGCAGATATGCCCTTCTTCTTTTAAGTATTTGGATTCTTGAAGACCAATTAAGTAACTCTCTCTTTATATTCCTATAGTTGTCCCTAACAGTTTTACAGTAAAATTTGCAGCATAGAGCTTCTTTCAAGAATCTAAGAAACTCCTCTTCTAGAAAAAATGCCCGCCCTATTTTAAGTGGTCTTGACCAAGGATCAAAGTTCTCCAAAAGAAGAAAAAATTAAAGGAATAAAGAAAATAAATGAAAAGGATTTGGTAAATAATTGCAAGGACAGGAGGGAAAGGAAATTCCAAGAGAGTATATTTCCAGAATGAATACAAACCTTGAATAGCGTATTGCTCATTCTATATGCATCTTCCCAATGCCTATTAAATGAGTTGCTATTTAAATTCATACCCATTTTCCCCTCTTTTCAAGGTGGGTTCTTGTTAATACTAAGCAAAAGGAATAAAAACACAAGAAATAATCAGTTTCTTTTAACTGATTTTACTTTCATTTTGTCCATTCAAAACTCAGGTGCATCTAATAATCCTCACTCTGGATTTAATGACATGGCATATCCTCCAATGGATCTCACTGTAGCAAGATTTGTGAGCCAGAAAATTAGCTTAATCAAAGAAATAGTGTATACAATTGAAAAGCAAGCTGATAATTTGTTTTATTTTTCCATTCATATTACAATATGTTTAGCATTTTACCTCTACTAGATGTATAGTAATTGAAAATTAGGAAACCATTTGAGAATTAATTTGAGTTCAGAAAGAGCATTGTCTCCTGAGCAGTCCTTGATGTTCTATTTTTATATACATCTACCTTAGGCAATTTTTAGTCATCGAATAAAAAGTGAGAAAGTGAGCCTGCCATCACTCAAGAAAGAGAAAAAATCATGTGTCTATTAAGTTTTTCCAAACCTCAGTTTAATATCTCAAGAAGAAAATATATACTGATTGCAGAGGACAATCAATAAAGACACGGGCTCTGCTATGAAGTCATAAGAAGACCTAAGATGAATCAATTACTTCAGAGCATGTACCAGAAAAAAAGGAGTAGGATTCAGATTTGCTTTCATGTGCTTTTGCATATTTCTTATTGAAATTGGAAGATATGTAAACCTTATGAGAAGAAACAAAAGCAAGAAAAATGTATAAGTGTCCTTTCATCCTTCTTTTTGATTTTAGTCTGCACCCTTGGATATGAGTCCATCTAGAAAAGTAACAATGTGCAAGGTTTCTCAGCCTTCATGTTGTTGACATTTGGAGCCACATAATGTCATTGTGGTGGGCATCCAGTGTACTGTAGGATGTTTAGAAGYACTCCTGGACTRTACCCACTAGATGCCAACAGCACCTTCCAGGCCCTCATTCCCAGTTATGGCAACCAAAAATGTCTCCAGACATTGCCCAATGTCCCCTTCTTTATAGCATAAAAAATCTATAAGGCAGAAGATTTCATAATTTGAAAAACTACATGGTTGTTTTTATTAACATGCAAGTAAATTTAATTAAAGCATATGTTTTCCTTTCATTTTGTTAGGCATTTCAAATATTCATCAATCTATCTTTTAAAATCATATAATCATTGATTCTACTTTAGTTCTGTTTCGTTTTGTTTTTGTTTGCTTAACTRTACCAGGAATTGAACCCAGGGATGCTTAGTCATAGCCCTTTTTTATTTTGAGACAGGGTTTCACTAAGTTGTTTAGGGCCTTACTAAATTGCTAAGGCTGTCCTTAAACTTGTGATCCTCCTCCTGCCTCAACCTTTTGAGTTGCTGGGATCACAGGCATGCACCATCATGCCCGACTAGGTTTTTAGTATTTTATTAATAGAATCATTGAACACATTCAAAAATTGGGCTAAAACATACAATTAGAAAAAAAAGAGCTCACTAATACTGAATGTTGTTTAGAAGAAAAGCTTAATCCCTATACTCAGTTTTGGCCTCTAGGAAATTTACCCCTTATCTCAGATGAGTTTACGATTAAAAAAATCTAATTGCTGTGTCTCAATTGAGATAATAGCAACATTCTGATTTTTAATAGGTTGYACCATTACAAATGTGAATTTTTATTGTTTTGCTGAATGAAGTTGACACAAGACTTTGCTTCTAGAAAAATAAGAATAAGAGAGAACCACTTCTGTCATGGAAGAAGGCCATGGTGAGAAAGCTAGGAGGTTCAAATGTAAATAAGGGGAGAAACAGAGAAATTTTATTTTTTAGAAATTAATCTCTTAATGTTATTACAGACCTAGAGTCTTTGAGTTTGTTACTTAAATGTAAAAATCATGTGGTATAATTTATTTTGTCAATCACTTTTGTTTTATAAGGGAATTCTAAGATGAAATATATAAAAATCATAATTACAAAAAATCTATATCTATGTTTCAACCTTCCCCAAACATCTTTAGCATGAATGAAATAGACTCTTATCTTCTTTATGAAAATTCTTACGTATGTAAGACATGGTACACCAACCCACTGTGATAGTCTATAGGAGCTAATAGCTAAATGCCGACWATGAGCCGACTGTGCTGTAGGTGCTTCACATATACCATCTCATGTAAGCCTCACAATAGCCATATGCAGTAGATATCATTGTAAAAATGAGGAAGTTGGGCTGGCAGAAATTAAGTAAATGKCCCATTGTCATGCAGTTAGTGTATGATAAAGGTAAGTGCTCTTCACCACACACTTGTATTTAATATTCACTGTATTTGTAAAGTTGATTGGAGATTAAATTATTCTGCCTGTTTAGTGTATTTTCTTCAAAGTGAGTTCACAAAGCTCAAGTTCCCACAACAGCTCTTCGCCTATAGTGTTCTTAAATATTAATAACTGTGTATAACTAGTCTGTCAATAATAACAACCAAAAAATTTTAATTTCTTTAATATTATTTTATGTGATATATTTATGGTGGGAAAATTGAATTTGTTTTTAAAGGTTTAGTCAATATTTTAAAATTTGATTATTTACATCTATATATTTAAATATGTATGCTCTATATCCACATATAAAATATATATTACACACATATATACATTTGTTAATTTGATTTTGCCTTCCACATAAAATTCCGTGCTCTTTTTTAATATATAAATGTCTTTATTTTATTATGGGTAGAACATCTAACTTAAAATCTCCCCTTTTAAAATTTTAATTATACAATATAATATAGTTATCCATAGATGTAATACTGTACAGCAGATCTCTAGAACTTACTCATCTTGTATAACATAACCTTTATACCCAATGAGTGTCTACTCCCATTTCCCCCTTTTCCCAGCCCTTGACAACACATTCTACTCTGCTTCTCTGTGCTTACCTGTTTTAACTACTTCATGTAAGTGGAGGAAGGGGATTCACCTTAGTGGCAGGGTGCTCGTCTCAAATATGCAAGGGCCTGGGTTATATCCTTGGTATATTGAGTGGGAAGCATGAAGAAAAACAAAATAAAATCCATACAGGTGAAATCATGCAGTATGTAGAAAATTGCATTTTATGGCATAAAAACATAAATAAGCAAAAATACCATCAGTTGACAATTATTAGAGCAAAAGCAGTTTTCAAAAAGAAAAACCAAGTTAGGAGGCTTATACATCCTGATTTCAAGATTAGCTATGAAACATCAATATCAAGGCATCAGTATTAGAAGATAGACTACATATAGGTCAATAGAGAAGAATAGAGTCTAGAAATAAATCTGGATATAGATGGCCAATTGTTTTTTTTACACAAGTACCAAGAATTGAATGGGAAATTCTCTCAAACAAATGGTACTGGAACAAATAAGAGTTCATTTGGGGTAAAAAAGGAACTTACTTATGGATAGAAGAAAAAACAGGTTGGTAACAGGGACACAGATTGGATTTCAAAATGGCAGGACAAATCATTTGGGGTTGGTTAAATTTTCTGTATCTGGATTGTGGTGGTGGTTATGCAAGTGTATGTAACTTAAAAGTCATTGAATTCAATAGTCCTTTAATAAAATAGTTTTTGTATATAAGTTATATTTCAATAAAGTTGATTTTAAAGTAGGTATTCAAAGATGACTAATTTTATTCCTCTGTCATTTTTCATAGTAAGCAGGGAAATATGATGGCCTCTTACCCAAATTCTGGGGCTGTATCTCCACAAAGGTCTGTGAGTTATAAATACATGTGTGCAGGCACATACATACACATTAAATCAATTGACTGCAACTTTTAAATCCCATGAAACAAGTTCTTTGTAACCAGGAGCATTTTCTCCAGTAAATGATAGAATAGGAAATAAAACATGAGCTCAAAAACTTAGTCAATTTGGCAGTTTTCAAAGTTTAAAAAGATGGCTAGATACTACACAAGAAGGATTTGGTTGGCTCTTAAAATAATTTAGATCAGACTGTTAGAATCTTAAATAGGCCACCAAAGTGGTTATAGCATTTACTTCTCTGAAAAAAAAGCAATAGCATTAAACATCCAAATGCTTATTCAATTACTCCAAAACTAAGCAGAAGAAAGTTGATTTCTTGAGACGTATTTCATAGATAACAGAATTGAACACAGAATAAAAAACTCAAGCCACCTAGGTTTTACTAAAATGCCATTGAATAATATTAAGTTATGTATTAACTTTGGTGACTTTTATTAACTTTTTATTTCTTTGATAAAGACAATATTTTTACATTATTTTATAAAGAAAAAAACTTTAGTCTTAGATTTTGCCTCCATCTAGTGGACATGTTGGTCTTTTTCATGTAATTGAAATGAAAAAAGGATAAATCAACTGCTCAATTTTTATTGCTCATTTTAGTTTTGTGGAATTGAAAAGTGGGGGGACCACAGTTCATAACTAAAACAGTACATTYAACACTTTTTTCAATAATTTATTTCAAAGAGATTTTGAAGTGGTATATAATTGAAGATACATATGATCATTGGAAGTTAAAAAATCAAAAGAAGAAAATGAGCAGCCACCTAAATTAATATAGTTACTCTAATTTACAACCACATTATCTCCAAATCTTTTATATTGAGGAAAACAATAGTTGTATGATTATTATTTGATCAAATAAACCATATTATTTTATGAGTAAAAAAATTCAAATTAATTTTTATAATTAGAATGTGCTCAATTATTTTAATTTTGTAGATGTATACCATACATACAATAAAATTCAAAAATCTTGAAGAATTATTCAAAGTTAACATACCCATGTGACTAACAGCTGAAGGTATGTGAAATAACTGGTATTCCAAGAGCCTATTTTGTCCGGCCCCTCAGTGTTTCTTCAAAGTTGACCACTGCTCTAGCTTTTACTACCATTATTTGAGTTCGACCTACATAAATGGAATGATTTACTATGTGTATTTGTGTGTTTGGTGTGTTTGTTTGTTTGTTTTTAATCAATTTTATGCCTATGAGAGTCATCCATAATTCCACATACAGGGTTTGTCTTTTTCATTGCTTTACTCTGTGATATCAGCATATAATAATTTATAGATACGTTTTATTTTTTTATTCTCTTATGTGCCTTTAGAATGTTTACAGTTTGGGGCTCTATAGTATTATAAAATTATGATAATCAAGCATATTTTACTGTGCTGCATGAAACCAGTGATCGCACTTTGAACTCACCTGTCCAGTACCTGCCCTCACTCCGCACTTTCAGTTGGTGACATATTTCTTGGACTTTGGATCCAGACTTTTCTGAGGTGACATTCCATCTGTGCCACACCCTAGCTGTGTGGTCTCAGGCAATTTTCTGAGTCTTTCTGAATCTCAGTTTCCCTATTAGGGAACTGTAAAATCTCTTTTGAGAAGCTGATGTGAGAAAGGAGAGATCAATGGAAGGTCCTTTGCTTTGATCAAAAACGAATTTGAACTCTAACTGCACGTCTTCTTTGGTTTGCAGGGCAATACACAAGGGTACTCTCAGGGCTGGCAAAAAACATCCAGGGCGGGGAGGATCCACAGTCACTATGGCAACCGGAGACGCCTAGCGTTTACCGCAGCTGACTGCAGAGCTGAGAAAGCCGGGCGACAGGGCGACAGCCGACAGACCGCGGAAACCCCTCGCGGCATGAGGCAGCAGGAGGCCGTGGTAGTGACCGCGGCGGCAACGCCCGAGGAGGGCTGCGATGGGGAGCAGCCTCGGCAGCTGGCAGGGCTGGTGTGCAGGGCGCCCGGCGTCTCCCAGGAACCCCACAAACAGTGTGAGTTCAGCTGCAGCCGCGGACTCTGTCGCAAGGGGTGGATGGGTGTGGAGAAAGAGTGAAAGCTGCAGGACATCTGAGTGGCACTGACTGAAGAGAAGGTCAGAGCGGGAAGGGGTGGGGAGCTGCTGTTTTGGCAAAGGCAAAGGTGATGTCACTGTGGTAGAAAGCATCCTGGGCATTTCCCCAAGCTCTCCTTTACAAAAGACACCAAAGCCCAGCGTGGGCATCACCTACAACTTAAGGATTGACAGAGGAATTATTCTGTAAGAGAATTATAAATGTATATATATATATATATATATATATATATATATATATATATATTATACACACAGAGAGAGGCCTTTACATGTGTATAACATGTAGACATTTACATATGCATATATGTGTGTATGTGTATATGCACATCATTTTGACAATTCCTTCATTATACAGATTAAGAAATTGTGGTATAGAGGAGAGGAAGTGACTTACCACCATTAATCCATCAGTGCTGGAGAAATACATAAAATGCTTTAATTCTCATCTCTTGAACTCCAAATCCATATATTATTCCCTGATCCTTTTGGAATCTCAGTTAAGGACTTTTTTTTGGGGGGGGGCAGTTACTGAGGATTGAACCCAGGGGTGCTTAACCACTGAACCACATTGTTATACCTTTTTTATTTTTTCTGAGACATGGTCTCACTAAGTTGCTTAGGGTCTCACTAAATTGCTGAGGCTAGCTTCTTCAAACTTGCAGTCCTCCTGCCTCAGCCACCTGAGCTTCTGGGATTACAGGCCTACGCCATGGTGCAACATTTTAACACACTGCTGTCCGGTGGCCCCCACCCCACAACATACAAGCAATGTTCAAATATGTAAAGACAGTTCCAGTCCACAGTTACATCCAGCATGGTTATAAGGAGTCCTAGCCGGGTTTCAATGCTCACCCACATTGTTTCATGAACTTACAGATACTTGACAGCCTGTTGCACTCCACAGGTCTTCAGGTGCTAAGGAATGATGATGAAAATAATAGGACCAAGAGGAACACAAGCAGTTTCTAGTCTCCTTGATTGCCTCTCTGGGGAGTAGCCTAAGACTTTTCAGCCTCCCTCCAAACTGGCTGATCCCAGAAGGGAGCACTGGGCTCAAGCTACCAGCACTTGTGCTTCAGTGGACCCATACCCTCCTCTCAAGAGATCTTGTCAAGGAGTAAGTCACTGAACCACTGCCTCCTGGGGAAAAGGGTCTGTCCCTCAGCGTCAGCCCAAGGGTGTCTATGATACCTCATTCTTCTTTTTATTATTATCAACAGCAAACAGAAGCCTTACTTAAAGTAATTAAAATCAGTGTATTTAGGTATCAGAGATCCCTTGCCTCTGGTTTAAATTAAATCTGGCAACTTTTCCATTAAAATGCTTTAAAAGGCTTAAAATGCTTAAAAGCATCAAAAGGATTTTTTAGTCTAGGGCTTTAGGAATAAATGGTAGATTTATTCATTCATCGATTCAACATATACTGAGTCTTTACTAAGGCTTTGGGCAAGTTGCAGGAAATAGGGAAATGAATGCATATAGGTACCAACTTTCATGAGTTCACAAAGTCAGGGTAGAGGCATGCAAAGGGTTTTGCCTCAGTTTCCCTGAGAACCTCCTTTCAAGGACTCAGACTAAGTAGAGMGGGGCTGTTCAAACCACACAAAGTATGCATTCAATTTTCATATGTTTTTAATTACTGGAAAAGTCTTTAGTCTCTCTATAGCCTCTAGTTTCTAATCACAGATGTGCTCTCAAATATACACGAAGTGTGGTCCTTTCCCACAAACATCCTTCAATTATATACAGGTGACCTTTGGAGCACCCATAAAATGCATCAAAGAACTAATTAGCTTTATAATCATTTGTAGTGCTTTTGCCATTCTGGCTGGTCTCTTCCAACATTATCCCATTAATTAAATCACTGAACCCAGTATTGTAGGTATTATCTGATTATACAATGTGGTGGAACTATAACTCCTTTGATCAGAGAACTTCTATTAAATGGATCCAAAATAACTTGTAAAACAAATGCAGTTTATCACAATCCTTAGTTTGTCTTTCTCCCTTTCCCAGGTTCTAGTCTCCTAGATTAGGTTTGATAAATATATATTCATATATCTATTCATGTATACATATTCATATATACATGTATATATATTCATATATCTAAATGTATATATATTCAAATATTATACACACACACACACACACACACACACACACACACACACCATGTCTTTCCATTCACAACACAGGCCAGGCACAGGGCCTGAGCTGAGGTGTACATGGGGTAGACTTACTCTGCCTCCTTTTTCTATATAGTCATTGTAAGAATGACTTGTGGTAAGCATCAGGAGGCCTAGGCCATATATTTATCCCCTTAAATGCTATCCTGTGGATTTTTGCATTTTCTTCCAGCTTTAGAAGCAGCCTTTGAGAATCCTAATTGTCATTCAACCACTTATTCATTCACCCAAGTTTATGCCATTCTAGTTCCTTTATTCAAATCAACAAATTTGATGGTGATCTCATCAGAATTGTTCAGTTCGAAGAAGACTTTGATCTGTTAATCAGCATCCTACGTGTGGGCATTCTGCCTCCCACTCCGGAAAATCCACTTTATCATGCGCCTTGTTGAAATGCAGATATATTGTAACTACTTCCCCAGTCTAGTAGTTTAGTAACTTGAGGTATGGAAAAGTCAGGTAGGTTGGCTTCTTGTTTTTATTACTTTAGTTTTATAACTTTAGACAGGTACTTTCTTAATAATAAAATAGAAATAATTATATTTACCCATAGGTAATTGTGAGGAAGAGAAACAATATGAGTATTAGATGCCTAAAGCATGGTAATATTGAATAAATTGTAGCACTTGTTACATGAAATAGCATTGTTCCAAAAGAAAACATAGAATAACATTGTTCTTAGCAGTCCCTCTTAAAACTTAATGGGACCAGCACCTTGGGAATCACTTGTAATTCCAGCAGCTTGGGAGGCTGAGGCAGGAGGATCACAAATTCAAAGCCAGCCTCAACAACTTAGTGAGACCCTAAGCAACTTGGCAAGACCCTCTCTCAAAATAAAAAAAAATAAAAAGGGCTGGGGATGTGGTTCAGTGGTTAGCACCCCCTGGGTTCAATGCCTGGTACCAAAAAAAAAAAAGAAAAAAAGAAGGAAAAAAATTAGTGGTCACTGTTTCTCATTATCTATAGACAGAAGCCATTTGTTGACTATTCACTCAAAATTTTGGTGAAGATCAACATAAAGTTGCTATGTTATAGTTTGTAGATTTCTTCCTTCCCTTTCTTCCTCCCTCCCTTGCTCCCTTCCTTTCTTCCTTCTTTTTCTTTGTAGAGGATAATTGCTTACACTTGCTCTTTCTACTCTCAATGTTCACTGTTCTTTAAATCACCTTTGCTGATTACCTCTAAATTTTCTTAAAAACAAAGCTGAAATTTGTCAGAAGATCTCACCCTACAGAAGGTAACTCTGCCCGTTATAGACTTTGCTGTTACAGACTAGCTGTTATAGACTTTGTTCCTTTTCTAGCCAAGTTTATTAAATCCTTTCCTGCCTGAAGATTATGATTCTACAGAAAAAAAAAATTTAACCAAAATTAATGCTCTTATCTCTCATTAATATGACTCCCAACTTTTAGGAAGAATGAGACTCTGARAGTATCTAACTCTACCTTGTCTGTATCTGAGGGTGTGATTGAGTCCTCATGACCAGTAATGACCCAGGCCACTGTCATGGCAGCATGTCTCTTGCCCCCATTTAGCCAGTGTGTAGTCAAGTCAAATGAACTCCCTTGTGTTATTACTGGTTGGTCTGGAAAAGATGAGACACCTCCCATATCTTTGTAGGTTTAAAGTTGAATCTTTAATAAAATGAGTCAGGTACAGTGGCGCATGTTTGTAATCCCAGCGACTTGGGCAACTGAAGCAAGAGGATCGCATGTTCAAAGCCAGGCACAGCAACTTAGCAAGACCCTAGGTAACTTAACATGACCCTGTCTCAAAATTAAAAAATAAGGGCTGGGGGTGTGGCTTGGTAAGTGCCCCTTTACTCAAACTCCCAGTACCCCTTGCCCCACAAAAAATAAATAAGTGGTTTGCTTGAGTTTTTCGTGGCTCCTTAAATTGAGCTCTTGGGTACCAAGCCTAAAAGCATGTTTCCTGACATTCACAGGTTGCATTGTCAGGCAGGCACATAGAATAGTCTTTGCTTAGGCTTCTATCAAATCTAATGATGGTTGGTTCTACCTGAGCATACATTACTCAAACCTTTGTTATATGCCAAGTCCCCTTCTAGGACACTGATAAACTGAACAGACAATATCCCTACCCTTATGGTGTTCAATAGTCTGGTTAAGAAGACAGATATCAGCCAGGTATGGTGGTATACACCTGTAATCCCAGTGACTTAGGAGACTGCAGCAGGAGGATGACAGTTTGAGGCCAACCTCAGCAGTAAGTCCCTGTCTCAAAATAAAAAGGTCTGGGAATATAGCCAAGGGGTAGAGTGCCCCCTCCCATTTAATCTCCAGTATAAAAACAGAGAGAGAGAGAGAGAGAGAGAGAGAGAGACAGAGAGACAGAGAGACAGAGAGAGAGAGAAAAGAAGAAGAAAAAGAAGAGGAGGAGGAGAAGGAGGAGGAGGAGGAGGAAGAAAGAAGACTAACACCTACACACATATTTGCATGTAAATGAAATGAAACTGCATATAAAGGAAAGAAAAAAGGAGGAGAGTATGAGGAAAAAAACATTTCTAGCTTGTGGAGTCAAGGAAAGTTGCCCCGAGGAACTGATATTAAAGCTGTGATTTACAATTTGAGTAGAAGTTATGCAGGAAAAAAAAATTAGGAGAAAGGCAATTCAGGAAGAGAAGAGAACAGGTACAAAGGTGAGAATGCACAGAAGGGTGACTTGGCTGGAGCTCAGAGAACTACACAGAGAGGCTGATGAAGAGTTTGGAGAGAGGCAGGGCAGAGCACAGAGCTGTTTTGTTCCCCTAGAGTTGTATCCTCTGGGGTGAAAGAACAAATATCAGTCCTGGACTRGAGTAGTAAAAATGACCTATAGAGCTAGATTTAGAGGCCAGAAAAAAGTCACATGTCCATCAGTGGTTGCTACTACAGAGAGGTAAGAATGATAGAGGTTTAATCTTTTAAAATTATAAATTCAATAAAGAGGCTGATTTACAGTAGGATAGGGAGAGGGAACATGGGAGGAATAGATGAACTCTAGATAGGGCAGAGGGGTTGGAGGGGAAAGGAGGGGCAGGGGGTTAGAAATGATGGTGGAATGTGATGATAATTTTTCATATCTCTGGTTGTATATAAAGTATGTTCACACCAATTCCTGTTTTCATACCTGTACTTTGTATAATAATGATCTTTATATACAACCAGAGATATGAAAAATTATGCTTCCATTCTGCAACTGGTTTGCAAGGTCCATGAACACATCTATTTTATCCATTGCTCTCAGCCCTGGCACAGAAGGTCTTTAGTAAGAATCTATTGACTAAATTGAGTGAAAGGTTTCTTGAGTGAATGAGAAATCCCACATACTTCTTCATAATATCCAAAAGAGGTACCTAAAACATCCCACAAATTCAGAATTACATGAAAGTAATTACATGAAGTCCCCAAAGAACAAAGTTACAATGGAGAGATCGCTCTGAGAGAGAGAGCCTGCAGGGCAAATTTCTGATATTTGTATGGAGTGATGGGTCTTTATATTAAAAAAATTATTCATATAGATATAATGGTTAGAAGGATGGGAAGAATTATGATAACTAACAAATTTTGTCAATTCTTTTATAGGGAAGAAATTTTTATATTGTGAGCCACATAAGAGAATTAAGGAAGTGCTGGAAGAAGAACTTTATATTAAGAGAGATGAATGCCACATTAAAAATCCACCTTCAGGTAATCTCAGTAACAAAGTAGTGAAAGTGAAAATTAAATTGCCTATTTGATTATAGGGTGATTATTATATTTATTACAAAACTATAACTACCAAAAAGAAAATAGGTTCTTGAGAAATTCTTAAACTATTCTATAATTACTTTTCTGATGTCCAAATAAACCTGTGTTTAGAAAAAAATGAGCTACTGGTATGTACTTCTTTTCTCTCCCAATGTTTGGTGAAATTATTTCTACTTAATGATAAGTGCATTTTTCCCCAAATGCTTGAAAACCACAATGACATCTTCTGTCTTATCAACACAGGTATAGCCAATAACAGAAATTCCCAAACTTTAGATTATCTCAGAATTACTTGAAAACTTATTAAAGGTAGATTTCTGGTCCCCATCCCCAAGAGATCTGGCTCGACAGGTCTGAGATAGGGCCCAACAAATTTTTTTTTCTACCAACTTCCTAGGTGAGGTTGATACTGTGGGTCTAGAGACCCCATTTTGCCAACCTTTGACTCAGCAGAATTCTGGTTCACTCAAATAGGTTAAAACATCCAAGGGTTTTTGTGCCACAAACACAAGTGTGTATTACATGGTCTGGACACAAAAACATCTCATTGATGGCTCATGTGAGGATAGATATGCTCTATAAGCCCAAGAATTTATGCTTTTTTTTTTTTTGGTACTGAAAAAAAACCCAGGACCTTAGCCCACAAATGTTATTTTGAAACTGCCAGTACCCCGCATTCCATGGCTCCTTCTCAGTGAATAGATACATATTCCATGCTCAGGTTTTTATTGTGATGCTGTARGGTACCAGCAATTGCTAGGAAAAAAAATAAAAATAAAAGAACTGTAAGATAGGACTCCCATGCTCAGAAAACTTGATGTTTTTTAAGACAATTGTTGAACCTGCAGATGGGGCCCAGATTCCCTCAGGATTCATAAGAGCAGATGCTGTAGGTCCAGAAGTCTACCATTTTAGACTTCATCCTGCATAGGCTCATTTTATGTTTCTAAACCAGCTATAGAAACATCTCTGGGACCTTCTTTTATTGTCCATTCTTACAGAAGGAGAGACCTATGTAATGGCCACATTTGCTCTTACAATGGTTTCAGGAAGTTTTAATTCTATGAATGAATATAAAGTTTGACATTTATGAATGGATGCAGAATGACCTACAATATTTCTACTGTGAATGCAGCRGAGATACATTATTTCCTCCCTGGTTAATTTTTCAAAATCTACATTATATTTTAGATTTATCTTGTTTTCAAAGACTACCTACAAAGTTAATTTGTACACTAGTTGTCTGTTATCTTATTCTTATTGGATGTGCTTTATTATGAGGCCATCTAGGTTTACAGAAAATATAGTTTGATTTATAAAAATTCATTTTTCTAAGCCCTTTTTCCAAATATTGTTCATACAAATGAAGACTTTCTGGGCTGCATTTTTATAACATCTATCAGAAGTTGCATGGAGGTATTATTTTAGCCTATAAAACATTCAAAACTAAGAATAGATCCTTAAGCTTAGGTTTTAAAGGTTCTACTTATTGAAAAAAAACATAAATTTTTAAAAGGGCTAGAAGCCCTACATCCTTGGCCAGAACACAGAACAAGTACTCAGGGAGGGTGCCACACTCTCTAGCCCTGAGCCAGCTACTTGACCATCTGGCCATTGCAGTGACACGCCCTCTTTCAATACCTGATAACAGCTATGGCTTTTCTTCCTGGAAGATACATCTTGTCACATACACCAGAATTCTGCATGAAACTTTTAGGGACTTCAATGGCTCTTATAACTGCTATTTATGGATATTCAAGAATAAGTACATTTGGGGGACTGGGGTTGTAGCTCAATGGTTGAGCACTTGCCTTGCATGCGTGAGGCACTGGGTTTGATCCCCCGCACCACATAAATAAATAAATAAATAAATAAAGAAAGATATTTTTAAAAAAGAATAAGTAAATTTGGGTTGGGGTTGTAGCTCAGTTGTTGAGCACTTGCCTAGCACATGTGAGGCACTGATTTCAATCCTCAGTACCACATAAAAATAAATAAATAAAATACAGATTAGAAAAAAAAAAGAATAAGTACATTTGGCCAGGTGTTGTGGCACACGCCTGTAATCCCAGTGACTCGGGAGGCTAAGGCAGGAGGATCAAGAGTTCAAAGACAACCTCAGCATCCTATCACTGAACTACAGCATCCAGYCTTTTATTATTATTTTGAGGTAAGGTCTCACTAATTTGCCCACGCTGGTCTCCAATTTGCAACCCTTATGCCTCAACAGGTAAAAGTATGTAGCCAGGACTCTAAGGCTTCCCTTCTGTGGACTTTTGATTCCCACTAGGCTCCTGATGCAGAGATTTGTGGGCACAGTGAGAAGCACAGGATGCTGGGGTGAAGGGTGATGATGATGGTAGTGATAATGGTGATAATAATAACTCCCATCATTTATAGAAGTATCTTCTGCATGTATCAGACTTTTTTGTTATTGTTTTGTTTTACAAAGTATCTCTTTTTATTAGTGGAACAACACTGTGTGAATATATGCTCTTTTATTCATATTTTGCTTATCTGGAAGCTGATGTTCATAAGGATACATGATTTACCTAGTGTCACACAGTTGGCAAGTGGAATAGCTGGTCCTTGAACACAGGCTTGTCAGAAGCTGCAGAACTTGCTGTCAGCCATTGGGTTATTCTGTCTTCCTTTAAAGCATAAAACTGTGTTTTCAGAGAGGAATAAAAATTGAAACTACAATTTTAGTAGCAGTATAGAGTCATCTTAAGAAAGAAAGGAAGAAAGGAAAGAAAGAAGGAAGGGAGAGAGGGAGGGAGGGAGGGAGGGAGGGAGGGAAGGTAAATTGCCATTCTTCTCTAGGTTGTTTCAGTTTAACCTTCAGGTTCAAACCTGTGCTTCCAGAGGTTTGCCCATTCCTATCAGACCTATTATAGGCAGAGAGCCTGGACCTATTATAAAGTTTCTCATCATCCTGAAAAATAGAAATGCACTTTCCTCATCATACCTTCCAGTCAGTGGGATAAAGAAGAATGAAGCTAATGTGATTATTCATAACTTAGTGATTCCCTGAAGATTTCCCCTCCCCACTTTTTAAAAAGAGAAAACTTAGCTTTTGGTTTCCACAAACTTCTATGGAAGACTTTGTAAAAAGAAGTTAATATGTTAACAATATTTTCATGTAGCAAAGGCTTTTTTATCTTTCTAATTGAAACCTGCAGAAGTTATATTAGCCATGAAAATTTGATAAATGAAGCTTAATCAAAGTTTTCCTCTTACAGAATATTTCTTTTTGCATTGAATTTCAAAGTGTACTTCCAAGTCCATTAATATTTGTCTTTCTGTGCCTTAATACGTGATAAATTAACTTTGAGTCTGGTTTATTTACTGCGCTTAGTACAAATTTAGAAAGTGCAAAATGTTGTTTGAGCAAGGGTAAACCAGTTGGATATTAATTATTTCATTCAACAAAAGTGTTTTCATGCATCTATAATATACAAGGGTAATTGTGTTGCCTAGGAGTCACTGAACACAAATTAAAATTACTTTCATTTTTCTTCCTTTGGTCAAATCTCTGAATATGTTCATATAAGGGAAGTATAGAAGATATGACTCTAAACTGGCTTTTTAAGTTCTCAGACTCATTATTCACAGTCCAGAGAGAGCTAACAGGAACAAAAAATATTTTTAAAGGGTGAATTTACTTTTCCTGTGAGGCCAGGCTAGGTCCCACTGACAAGAATTTTTGGCATAAGCATAGTTTCATAATTTTTAAAGTTAGAATAAAAACACACTTAAGGTGTCTGGGTATAAGGGGTTGGGTGCATGAGAGGGAAGAAAGAAGAATCTCTGGAAGGTTCTGGGAAAAGGACTCAATTTCTTAATCTTCATTTCTCCCCTGCTGCCCATTTCTTTTTCAGGCCACGATGCCAGCACAGAGGTCTTGCAGGACCTGCTGTGTCTTTCTTCCACCTCCTGAAATGCACATGCTTAGAGCTGAGGAGTTCAGTTTCTAATAAGAGAAGCGGTTGCCTCAAAGGGCATCTGTGATTCCTTTTTTTTTTTTTTTTTTTTTTGGTACTGGGAAATTAACACAGGGGCACTCGACCACTGAGCCACATCCCGACCCTATCTTGTATTTTATTTAGAGACAGGGTTTCTCTAGTACCACACCTTTGCAGAGGCGACTTTGAACTCTCAATCTTCCTGCCTCAGCCTCCCGAGCTGCTGGGATTAAAGGCATGTGTCACCTGGCCAGCCATCTGTGATTCATTTAATAGGCTTCTTTTTTCCCCAAGTGACTATATTGCCTTCTGAAATTCCTCACCCAAACATCAGACCAAATAAAAGTAGTAGTATTTTTTTCCCAGTAACCTCTATCCCTCAGGACAGTAAATTCTTATGTATAACTATATTTTGTTTTGAGGGTTTTAATGAATTTCTTAGCATCTGCATTTATATTTTCAGATATTTTCTCTATTGATTATAAGCTTCAGCTATTCTTGTGATTCCACTGCAAAGAGCCCTACTAAATTCCCAATCTCTAAATTCTTTACTTCATTTCATGTGTTTGTTTAGCATAGATCTGCTTTCTGATTTTAAGCTACTTTCCATTTGCCAGATCTTCCCACAGTATATAGATGAATCTAAATTTATTTCCCTGGTCTCTTACAGGAAGTCATACACAAGTAGGTATTTAATAAATGTTGGTGGTAACCTGAATTTGAGTCTAGTACCAGGGGCTGGGGATTATAGCTCTTCCCTATTTCTAGACAACACAGATGAGGAAACTGGCTTGAATGGCAGAGGAGATTTAAGTTAATATAGGATCCTGACAGAGAACATGGAGTCTTCTCTGAAGGCCCTGGAAGAAGGAAGCTAATCTTGATAGATAGCTTGAGAGAGGCAAGAATTGATGCTCAGCTCCATGAGTCAGCCAGTGATTTCCTGCTATGAGTGAACCTAATAAGCTCATGCKTGGACAATAAAATCATTTCCCCTGTAAAAATAATAGCAACCATTTATTAAGTACTGATCACTTTATGCCTGCCTTACCTACATCCTACAATATTCCTTCAAGGAAGATATTATTATCCTCATTAAGAGTAAATAAACAGCTAATGCCTGTAAAATACAAAATAGGCTGAAGGTGTGGCTCAATGGTTGAGTGCCCCTAAATTCAATCCCAAGTACAAAGTAAATAAATAAATACACAAATAAATAAATAAGGGCTGGGTGCAGTGGTATACACCTGTAATCCCAGAGGCTCAGGAGGCTGAGGCAGGAGGATCGAGAGTTCAAAGCCAGCCTCATCAAAAGTGAGGCACTGAGCAATTCAGTGAGACTCTGTCTCTAAATAAAATACAAAATAGGGATAGGGATGTAGCTCAGTGGTCGAGTGCCCCTGAGTTCAACCCCCAGAACCAAAAAAAAAAAAAAAAAAAAGAGGAAATTGAGACATATGGATTAAATAATTTGCCCAGAATCACATAATTGGAGGTGGTAGAACTGACACTAAAATCTTGCTGTCCTCTAAACCTAAAGACTGTACTCCTAGTCATCACTGGGTACAAAATCACTTGGGGAAGGATTGAGTGTCATTGAGGATGCCAGGAGGCAGCTCTGGATCCATGAGGAGAATTCAGCATTAAAATTTGTAGGCTCAGGGTTGGGACTGTAGCTCAGAGGAAGAGTACTTGGCCAGTATGCATGAGGCACTGGGTTCAATCCTCAGTGCCACATAAAAATAAAACAAAGATATTGTGTCCACCCATAACTAAAAAAAAAAAAATGTAGGCTCAGAAATCAGAAAAACAACTTATGGCAAGGAACCAGAATTCAGAAACTTACTTAACTTGGATTGTGGTTTTCTGCACAGTTAAAGTCCACATAACGCTTTTTAATTGACTCTCAAAACTTAAAGAAGTGATTGTAGGATATTGTGTCAGTCAGCTTTTTGTCACTAAAACCAAAATACCTGATACAAACAACTTAAAGGAGAAAAGGTTTACTTTGGGCTATTTTAGACTTCTGAGTCCATGGCCTACTGGCTCCATTGCTCTGAGACTGAGGTGAGGCAGAACMTTGTGGTGGAGGACAGCTGCTCACCTCCTGGCAGCCAGGAAGCAGGGGATGAGTTGTGTGGGACAAGCTATAATAGTTCCCAAGGGCACTCCCCCAGTGACCTACTTACTCCAACTAGGCAAGTCTGACCTCTGGACATTGATACATTATGAACCAAGCCGTTGAGGGACATTCCAGATCCAAACCATAACAGATACAGAGGATAGCCCAGTGCAAATCATTACTAGAACTTACTGAATAGTGCCAGGATTTAAGGCCTATAATTTGCCACGTACCAATGTGTACACATCACTTTCCAAGTACTTTGCTATGGTTTTTTTAAATGTAGGATCTGGGCTGGGTTATGCTCAGTGRTTGGAGTGCTTGCCTAGCACATGTGAGGCATTGGGTTCAATCCTCAACACCACATAAAAATAAATAAATAAAATAAAGGCATTATGTCTGCCTACAACTAAATATATAATATATATATAACGTAGGATCTGGTGATTTTGTTGTTGCTTCTTTCAAATGGGAAATTAAACAACATCTAGTTTATAGTTTTTAGAAGATTCTTCCATCTATTGAATAAATTAATGTGCTTTTTTTTCTTATCTGTAGAAATATTTCTAACCTGCTGCAGGAATTAAAAAAGAATCAGATAAAGCTGACTGAATACACTCTATGTGTTAACTTTTATTCCTGCTCTTTCTGTGTTTTATTATATATGTTCCTATTCTGACTTGTTTGGATTTTTTTTTTTTACTGTTTCCTTATAACTATACATAGCATTAGGATTCATTTTGACATAATTTTAAAAGTATGGAATATAATTTGCTCTAATTCAGTCCCCAGTATTACCCGCTTTCTCTCTCCTCCTCCCTCCCCTGTTCCCTTCCCTCTACTCGGATATGCAGAAGCTAGGTCAAAATAAGGGCAGGGAGGGGACTCCATCAAAATAGAAGGAAGACGGTGGACTAGATGAAGGGGACTAAGAGGGGAGGGAGAAGGGACAAGATAAGGGAAGAACAGAGGAATGAATCTGACCTAACTTTCCTATGTACATATATGCATATACCACTGTGAATCTCACCATCATGTATATCCACAAGACACTTAAAAAAAAAAACCTATTCTGACTTTTCATATATTTGTTTAGGTGTAAGATAAATTACAAAAGGGCATTATAGAGATTTAGTTGCATGGGGGAATAACTGAATGCATGAAATGGAATAAAGACCTTGGGGAGTTTGATTAATTAAATCAAAAACTTAAACCCAAATAACTAAAAATAAATAATCATCAAGTAAATACTTTAGAAACACTTGTGTTAAAAAGAGAATATGCTAATGATCATCATCTTGCTTTTGAAAATATTGACAGTGGTCCTGGAAGGGATCTGGAGCATTAAAAGGAATCTCCCTGTGGGGGGCTTGAAGCCAGGACTGCCTAGCAGAAACAGTTTACTGCCACAAGCCAAATACTATTCAAGGCACGGAGGACTGAGAAGTAAGACCCTGACACCCTTGACTTCCACAGACACCCTGAGGGTACTGCGCAGTTTACAAACCAGTGGTATACACTTTGTTTAAAGATCTCARTCAAAACTCAACCTGCCCCTGTCTTTCTCTATAGTTACTTATTGTTTTGCCCTGTTCCATCATTGAAGAACTCAAAATGGTAACAGTTCAGTTAACCAATGTTCCCCCAGGGATACAATAGAAGTTTCTACTCAGACTTACACTGCTGACTTTTTTTTTTCTCCTCAATTTCCTATCCACAGAAGACTTTCTAGCACATAGTCAGCTTCAGAGAGGAGGAATTTTACTCTGTCTTTTCTTCTGGATGGATGGTCTCTGTTTACCAGTGGAAATGAGGGAAGGGAGATGAGGGATTAAGGAAGAACAAGGGAGATGAGAGATTAAGGAAGAACAAGACAAGTATTTTGCTTGGCTCCTTTAGTTTCACCTTTTCCAGGTAGCAGCCACCAGCCTGGGTCCAGTGAAGAAACAAACAGAAACTTTAAGCGAATTATTGCTGTTTCCCTCACTGTCATAGCCAATGTTTGCCAGGAACAATTGTGGCAGAATGTGGGAAAGGTAGAGGGCTTGACATGGGAGCACAGTGTCCAGATAATGTAGAGATATGCAACTGGGTATATGAGTCCTGAAGATCAGTCTACAGCCTGGAGGTGACCTGGGGAAAAGGAAAGAAATAGGTAAAAGCCAAGGATACACTTATCCAGGATATAAATCATAATTGCAAATGTTAAATAGCACTGTTTATTCTAGATTCTTAACATATATAATATATATTTCCTGTTTACAACAATCACAGGAAATAGTTATAATTTATTTAACAATTGAGGAAACAGGATCAGAGAGGTAGAATAATTTACCCAGTGCCACTCAGCTAGTCAGTAGAAGTGCTGGGATATGAACCAGGTGGCCTGTTTTCAGAGGCCAGGCTTTCAACCACTGGACASTGCTATAGCCTTGAGCCAGACACTCCCCAGGAACTAGTGTGTCTATTATAACCTGAGTGAAACAGGAGTGCAGAAGTGCCAGAGAGCAGGAGGCCAGGGATGCAACCTCTGGGATATGAATTCAATAAAGGAAAACACAGACACTAAGAAACTGAACCACACTGTTTAAAAAAAAAAAAAAAAGCGTTACTAAGGGGATTTGTGTAGCAATCAGGAGCCAGTAATGGGTTTAAACTACTTTATTATTAAATTGGTTTTAATAATAAAGTAGCCATTATTTGCATGGGCCAAGMGTGGCAATACATGTTTTACATAGTTATAGAACCCCATGATTACACAAGTTGAGAATTATAATCTCTCTTCTAGGGAAGAAAACTGAGGCATAGAGACATGACATTACCTAAGAGCCCATGTGTTGGAGGCAGTGGAGCTCAAACTAAACCTGTATCCATCCGGCTTTCAAGACTATACCCTTAACCACCAGACCATGAGTCATGGTAAAGAATATAGTCACCAGGCAAGAAGGGCCAAATTAGTCATAGGGTTGTGTTAAATAGGCACAGTGCCTGGGCTCTGGAAAGGCAGGGTGAGGAATCTGGGAGTCAACTGCACTCAGGATCCACAAAGATATCATTGTCCTGGAGTAATGGTTGGTTCAAGCCTAATCTGGGTCACTTGTCTATCAGGGGCTATTTATCTCAACTTTCCACTCAATATGTCAGGTCCCATTTATAGTGGGCAAATTCTTCATTCCAAGAAAACTCACAAAGCTATTTATTTTAAAGATGGATAGTTTCCAAAATGCATATTATAAGACTGAAGAATAAATTACCTTTATCTGAAGACATATACGTCTAATAATTATCCAGTTCATCAATGAGTCAAATGACAAAAATGTGTTACATTTGGACCATAATTGTATTGCTTTCATCTGTACAATTTAGGAGAGAAGTGTTCCTGGCTCCTTCCTGTACTTGTTGCCACTTATTCACGCTACTTTCCTAGCAGCCTTGGCCATCTCTCCCTAGCCCATATCTAGCCATTACGAAGATCAGATGTAATTGTTTCTGACAGGTTTAATTTCATCTCTGCCATAGGATGATATCTACTKCTACTGTCTATGACACAGTCACAACTGGTCCAATTATGTCAATCATACAGATAACTAAGAATCAGACATTTCTCATTATCAATCAAAAAAAAAGAGCTATGCAGAGAAATTTATATGAAAYATTCCACAGACAATTGCCTGTAATCAAGAGATCCACAAAGACTGGGACAGTGTCTCCTCACCACTGTGTCTTTGGCTCTTAGCATGGTACCTGGCACAGTAGGTTCTCAGTTACTATTTGTCACCAGAATGACCAATGAAAACCAGAACATGTACACTGGAAAAAAAAGAAAAAGAAAGTGTATGTTGAATGTCTACTTTATGTTCAGGATCTTTTTGCTGGAAACCCATATACATGTTCCCCCTCCACAAAAGCAAATGATTTTCTCAGGCAAACAATGGGGGAGGGGCAAGGGAAAACTATTGTCTTCAGTGTGTGAATTATGAAAAGTTGTATATATTTTATACACAGCTTGGAAATGACACTTTGAGGTTTTCAATATGTCCAGGAACTCCCATGTTTCATTTAGAAAATTCAACTAAAACTTACTGTCACTTTCTTTTCCTCTTATGCTTTTTTCCCCTTTCTCATAACAGTTGTGACTCTTCCAACATCTAATACACATCATTTAAAGTTTAAATTTAGAGTCATGATCACCCAGTTGTAATTCTAAAGCATGTTTTTGGAAACATCCTGAATTAGAACCCCAAACTATTGTGCTTTTATCTCACTAACCGACTTCATTAATTTACTTTGATCATTTCCTTCTTATCCTATATCATGTAACAAACAAACCATTGTCTAGCCCAGTGCTAAGCTTCAATGTGCCTGTGAATCACATGAGTATCTTACTAAAATTCAGATTCTGATCCAGGAGGTTGATTCGGAGATTCTGCATTTAAGATTTCTCAGGTGATGCCAAAGCTAATTGTCTGGAAACCATGCTCCTGTTGTGAGGGTCTAAAAGACTCAGTAAAGGTTTTTATAGTTAGGGAGAACACACGGGTGTGGCTTTTACATTCCACTCCACCTAATGAAATATCACTGGGAATATTAATTCAAACTTAGATTAAAGTGGGGTTGKTATTAAAGAGCATCTTCCAAACTAAAAACACTTACTTATTTGTTCACATACTCTTTTTCACTCTAGGATGAAATGAATATAATTTTCCACTGGGAAGAAACCTCTTTCTCTTTATGTTTGAAGAACACTGAAGAAACTCAAGTTGTTTCTTGATTTCAGATGTATGGATGGAGGGGAAGTATATTAGTCTGTAATATAAGTTTACATAGTCATCTAAAGTCTTGAAAAACTATTGATATTTTGCTAAATACCTGCAAACAATGAAGGAAAATCTTATGCTTATTTTTAGTTTTCACAATTGGAATAAACTGGGTTTCTAATTCAATAGAATTGGGTTATTCTATTAAATGAGTGAGGCAATAAGCATTTCAGTGAAATAAAAATAAAACAAAAGCAAATTTATTGTGTCTTTATTTCAAGATAAACATTGTAAACCTAWCCTTCACTAAAGTGTAATGTGCTAATCCACTTAAAAATAAAAATAAATCCAGGAATAGACAATTGTCAGTAAATGAGTGACATAGATAAGAAGTCATTGATTGACTTGGAGACAATCATTTTCATACTGGTCTTAGTAAAGTTCATCATTCCTACAGAAGTTGTTTACTAAATAGTAAATAGAAGCCAGGATATTTATTGTTGTTGTTAAGAGAGCTCTGTAATCCCAGAGCTCAGGAGACTGAGGCATGATGATCACAAATTCAAAGCTAGCTTTAGCAATTTAGTGAGGMCTTAAGTGACTTAGCGAGCTCTTTCAAAATAAAAATCAAAAGGGCTGGGGATGTGGCTCAGTGGTTAAGTGTCCCTAGGTTCAATCCCTGGTAACAAAAAAATAAAATAAATTTTTWAAAAAAAGAAATTTAAAGGAAAGGGGAAAAATCCTTTCCCTCCCYCTAAATTTTTAAAGTAATATATATGCAATATAGAAAAAYTAATAAAGAAAACTGGAAATTAAAATATTGTGGGGATCGATTTAGAGGCACTTAACCACTGAGCCACATCCCCAGCCCTTAAAAGTTTTGTTTTGTTTTTAATTTTGAAGCAGAGTGTCACTGAGTTGCTCAGTGCCTCACTAAATTGCTGAGTCTGGCTTTGAACTCTCAATCTTCCTGCCTCAGCCTTCTGAGCCTCTGGGATTACAGGAGTGTACCACCCCACCTGGCTTTATTCTTCTTTTCTATGCTATTTTACTTTAGTATTTGAAATCACACTGTATAGTATATACATTTATTATCCCTTCTGGCACAACATTACATAATTTCCCATTCATTTATCATGCTAAATAATTTCATAAAAATCTTTATATATTTGTACTAGATTTATTCTTTAATAGTCTATTTTTTTGATATTTGGATTTTGCTGACTTTTCATTTTATACATATCCATTGTTACTTATACTCCTTATCCCCTAATTTAAGAAGCTCTATTGTTCTTGGGTTTGTTTTTTTTTTTTTTTTGGTTTGCTTTAGTATACTGAACATCTATGAGAAAGCAATTCTAATTCAATGGAAGAGATGCTGAAAGATTCAAGATTAACATCCATTATTAGCATGTAAAATTGAGGGAAAGATCAGTGAATTGTGCTTGTAGAATTCTGCCCCCATTGGAGACAGAAGGTTAAGCCTAAAACCATCAATGGGAAAGATGAAGAAAGATGGGCTCTCAGAGCAGGGGTTTCTGGCTGTTCTTTGCTCACTGTGTCAATTTTTTCTCCCAGCCCCCTCAGGCTGATTCTGTAGGCTAAGATGGTAGAGATCGTGTTTGCTGTAGTAGAGAAAGGAAGCGATAGGCTGAACCCAGTGGTAGTGCTAAAAAGCTTCCAGAATCACACTTGGCTCAAGCTTCTCCAGGGAAGATAGACAGAGGGAAAGGAGGTGCTGGCACCAATCGAGGGCTTGGCACAGAGCTCTGGAAAATTCAGAGGAGATGGAGGCCCAGGTGGCAGGATACGCCTGGATAGCAACAAACTCCTATAGCTATGAGAGTCTGCAACGCCCACACAAAGGACAACAGTCCAAACTCTATCATGCATAAGCAGATGGAGTCACATGGGGGATGTCTTGCCCTAACCTGTCTCCCATGTSGGACTGACCTAGCCCTATTAAGCCCATGGTGGGCAGCCTGGGAGATGGGGGGTCAGGGTAGCCCAATGTGGGACAGGACACCATACCCCATCTGGTTTCTGGTTCATCTCCATCTCTCAAAGCTTTTGGACATGCACACAGCTGAAGGAGGTCTCACTGGATGAGAACTTTGGAAAGCTCCCTCTAGTGAGACTGGGCAGGGGTGGCAGGATGGGGGTGGGGACTGCCTTGAGAAAGCAGCTGAGAAGAAGCTCTATTGTTCTTGAAAGCTTGGTCCTTGTTCCCAGTATCAATCCAATAACAAGGACACAGTTCTGAGAAAAAGGAAGAAGAAGTTTTATTGCTTTGCTAGCAAAGGAGAAACACAGGGCTACTG